GCAAGAGAAACCACCAACAGGGCAAAGAGACAACTCACTTTGTGGAAAAAAATTTTGCCAAAATTTTGTCTGTCCCTCAGACAAAGGACTAATATCTAGAATAAATAAAGAACTAAAAAATATCAGACCCTCAAATATAAAGACCCAATCCAAAAATGGCATCTGAAATGAATTGACACTTCTCAGATGAAGAAGTAGAAATAGCAAATAAATATATGAAAAAATGTTCAACATCACTGGTCTTTCAAGAAATGCAAATGAAAACAATGCTGAGATTCCACCTCTCTCCACAAAGAATGGCTGTTATCAAGAAATCATCCAATAACAAATACTGACAAGGCTGTGAGGAGAAAGAAACCCTTCTCCACTGTTGGTGGGAGTGCAGACTGGTGCAACCACTGTGGAAATCACAGTGGAGATTTCTCAAAGAACTAACAATGGAGGTTCCATTTGACCCAGCTATTCCCTTCTTAGTATTTTCCAGAAAGAATTAGAAGCATTCTACCACAGTGATATATGCATACACATGTATAGTGGCACAATTTGTAATAGCTAAATCTTGGAAACAGGTCAAATGCCCATCAACTGACAAATGAATAAAGATGATGTGGGGTTTTTTTCTACAATGGAATGCTACTCTGCCATAAAGAAGGATGAGCTTCAGACATTTATAGCTAAATGGATGCACCTTGAGACCATACTCTTAAGTGAAATAAATCAGACACACATGTTGTGAGAAACTGAGAGTGGAAATGAGGACTAAAAGGTATAGTAGATATTGGGAAATGGGAAGAAAATGTTCAAATGAGAAGGGGAACAAGGGAGGGGGGAGGAGGAATGGAAAGAAGGGACATGAAAAAGAGAAAATAGAAGGAAAAAATGGAAACAAGCCTTTGTGTATAAGGAAGGGAAGAAAGGTTGAAGGGGGAAATGGGAAAAAAGTAGAAGCAAGATACATCAGGTACAGATACAAATTCCCTATGATGAATGTTATCATTATGTCTATCTAACATGTACCAAGAAATGTTTTGTTTCAAAAAAAAAGAGAAAGAAAGAAAGAAAGAAAGAAAGAAAGAAAGAAAGAAAGAAAGAAACTAGAGCCAACATATCATCAGTTGGAACAGGCAGGATTGATTGATTGATTATTTTGTAGTACTGGAGATTCTTAAACACAGGACATTCTCACTGCTACATGTTCAGTTTTTTTTTTTTTTTTGAGACAAAGTCTTACTAAATTTCCCAGGCTGAGCTCAAATTTGCAGTCTTCCTAACTCAGCCTCCCAGAGTGCTGGAATTACAAGCATATGCTACCACGCCTGGCTGAACACACAAGTTTTAAAGTGGAAAATGTGTGGGTGCGTGTGTGCATGTTGTGAGTGAATGGCATCCTGTCTGGGAAAGGAGTTCTGTCCACGGTGTCAGAGAGGGAAAGACACTTCTGCCTCTACTCCCGTAGCTATACGCTTCACTGTGAATGCACTCTCTCTGGAGTCTCAACTTATCTCCTCCATCTTGGATGCCAACATCACACCATGCAAACAATGAGGAACATTTGGTGCTTTCTCCACTGCTGATACTGGGTCAGAACTCATTCCTTCCAGATAATGCTGAATAATCTGAAAGACTACTCCAGAAAGACCCCCAAGGGGGCCTGGCACCAGTGAACACCACCTGGCACTGCAGCTGTGAGAAGGGAAGATGCCACCTGCTGCCTTGCTTCATGTGGCACTCGCATAAGTTTTAGAAGCTGAGCAAGAGTTGGAAAGCCAATCTGAGTGGCTTAAAAAGTACTGACAAAACTTACAGGTGGCAAAGAAGTAAAGTAGAGATCTCATATTTTCATCTATTATTATTTTGTTAAAATCTTTCACAATGAGTACATATTCAAATAAGACTCCTCAATTTTTAAAGATTCATCTTTAAGCCAGGTGTTGGTGGTGCATGCCCTTAGTCCTAGCACGCTGGGGGGCTAAGGTGAGAGAATTTTGAATTTGAGCCCAGCCTGGGCAACTTAGTGACCCTGTCAAACATGTACTAATAAAAAAAATAAAAATTGGAAAACATTTTAAAATAAATTTAAAAGAATAGAAAAGAACCAGTAGTAGCTCAGTGGGAAGGCCTTGGGTTCAGACCCCAGTACTGCAAAAACAAACAAAACCCAACCTCTTAATTTACATCTTAGAAACAGCTTGGCTAGTCCTATAAATATTTCCAATCTGGCGTTTGGTGGGACTGTTGATCAGTGGTGTGACTATTATTCTAGTTTCCTCAGCTAGATCTCCTTCACTCCATGGGCCAAAATTTGACCGAAGAAATGGCCCAGAAAACAATGACAGCTCAGGAGCAGCACATACACTTAGATCTCATTGGCCTCTGAAGAAATGGCTAATGCAAGACCAGGCAGGAGAAGTATACGTTATTATGCCAGAAAAGAAAATGACCATTTATGTTGAAGGGGGACATGGGAGTCCATTTGTAGTGTCTCTTGCTGAACAAACTGGGGTAATTTTGGTATTGACAGTAATGGATTATAATCCACTTAATAAAAAAAACAGGGACCCATAATAAATAAACAGGAATAAGTAATCACTCTAATTTAAAGTGGAATGCCAAAGAACAAATGGAGAAGAAATGTGATCTTTATAAATCACCATTTTCCGGCTGTGATGGTAATAACTGATTAGGGAAGAATCACCACTGTATGCTAACACTACTGGGTAAAAGCTTGATGAAGATAAAATATTTAAGTGCACAATATCCCTACATATTATTCATTCATTACAAAAGGAGAAACCTGGTAGGTATCACTTCAAGCAAGCCATCCAAGTTTATACCACCAAGAAGGTGGCAAAGTGGTATCAATGCCCCTTGTCTGATGCTGAGGGTACAAGATCACTAATGTAATATTTCTGGCAAAAGTGATCAGAGTCCCATCATGCGGACATATGAGTGAGTCCTAACTGAGGGACACTGTGTAGGGTAGCTGGCAAGCACACTTCAAAAATATCAGTGGCATGGGCCAGGGATTTAGCTTGGTGGTTCTGCCGCCTGCCTGGCAAGCACAAGGTCCTGAGTTCGATCCTCGTTATCCCCCCCAAATATATATATCAGTGGCATAAAATCAAAGAGAGACAAAGGAAGCCCTCCAGATGGAAGGAGGCTAGAGAGACAGCACAACACATCATAATGCCTGATCCTGAGTCAGACCCTGAACGAGGACCCTGCATATAGTATTGTGTCCACATTAAATTCCTCACTTGGCAAGTGCACGGCATCAGTGTCAGAGCATCTGTCACTGGAAATACACACAGAGGTCATTCAGAATGAGGGGACATGATGTCTCTAACTCACCCTCCAACAACTTGGAAAAAACAGCACGTGAGGATGCACACACACACACACATCTGGAGAGACACTAATAAAGCCAATGAGGCAATATGCTAATAATTAGTGAAGCTGGGGGGAGGGGATGGAGGAGTTCTTCATGAAATTTTTGCAATTTTTCTGTTAAATGTCAAAATAAAAGTTTTGGAGAAAAAAGAATTTCAAAATAAAAGTGAACACTGAAAAGAAAAAATTCAAAAACGTCTTTCTTTAATACTTCTCCATTTCTCCTTTGCCTCCCCCCTCATTCAGGTAGTCATCAGTTTACTTGGATTCCTGTCATAACCTAACAGCAGCCTCTTGCCTGCAATTCTCCCATTCCTGTGATCTAGTGGGCACACTGCCAACACACCCCACATATTCACACTCCCCAAATACCTAGCATCCCTGGCTTATGCCTTGACAACCTCTCTGTATTACTTTTCTCAGAACATCTAATTCTTCTTGCAATCAAAGGTCTTCACTGGCCTCATCACTCTGATTTTTGCCACATTATCATTTGATTTGGAAAATATTCGTTGACTGGTTATGTCTGGGAAATGAATAATAGCAATCTCCAGGCTCTGTCCTAAGGAGTTTGCATTGTAGGAGGAGACAACTCACACATAGAACAAATGAGGTAAACACAGATTAAATAATTTCAGACTGGGATTAGAGCAATGAGCAAGTAAGTGAGCTTATTTACAGGGGAAGATAAGCAGGGCAAGGCCTTCCTTTAGGCTGAAAACAGTTGGGCAAGAAGGAGGGAGAAGAGAGAAAAAGAAAAGACTTTGGGACAGTCACAGTCAAGGGCATCGTGCTCATAAACAGGACTCTAGGTGGCACAAGATAAAGACTAGAAGAGATCTGGTCTTTCTTCCTGGTTTTTGACACAAAGTTCTTTTACACTTGGAATTTCTTGAATGATAGGAGAGACTTCATTATGCTAAAGAAGTGACTCAGGTGGGTGGCTGGATAGGGACTGGGTGGGAGCAGATCTCCAGGAAGGCCAGTTCTATGAAGGCCAGTTCCAGAGTCAGTGCTTTGGGAGGAGGGGGACTGGAGATTGAGTTCAATCATATCACTCGTGATTTAAGCATCCAAGGATAGGAAACAGAACTCAGATAAATCTCTGGACTCTGAGATGCAGTGGAGCTTCTTGAACAGGAAACATCAATGTGCAGGGAGGATGCTGTACCCTGGCTCCTCGGGAGCAGAGCACTGAGGCTGTGAGGCCGGGACTCTCCCAGGCCTTGCTGAAGCAAGAAACAGTGAGGATCCCAGACAGATAACTCTTTAACATAAAAATAGGAGCAAAAAGCAGCTTTTAATGATCCTGGCAGCTCAGCGGGTGACTCCTGTCAGTCTCCAGAGCCCCAAATAGAAGTTTGCACTTCCTTATATACCTCTTTTTACATCTACAAGGCTTAATTTCATTGGAGTTTCCCTGGGAATACAGCAAGTAGGATTTACAAAAAGCAGACCAGTGGAGAGGGGCACAGCAAAGAGTTCTGGCAGGACTTTCTGAGTCCATTACACTTCTTTGGTGACAAATTACAGAAGTTGTCATGGCTGCTCAGGTACATTCTACAAAGAGCATAGTTACCTAGTTAACCCATAGTTACCTAATACAGAGTTAGCTCATAGTTGCACCGTTCCATATGGAGGACTGGTCTCCTTTTTCATTGCCTAATGAGCTCTTCCATCTGGCTGTTTGAGTTGTGTTCTTCGTAGTAAAACTTTAATAGTAAGTAGGGCACTTCTTGAGTTCTGTGAGTGATGTCAGTGAATTACTGCACCTGGGAGACTGTAAAGCACCTGAATGTGTAACTGGTTAGTCTGATGCGCAGGGAGACTGAAGACCCCACTAGTACTGTGCAGCCCTTGGAGCTAGTGTCTGAGATGAGGGCAGTCACATGGAGGATGAGCCTTTTGCCTGTGGGGCCCAAAAGTAAATCTGGCGGTTACTATCAGAATTGTATTGAAGTGCTCTAAATTGGGGTGGAAATAAAATCAGTGTAAAAATGCCTGATCATGCAGGGCCTTCTAGACCATAATAATGAGGTTGGATTTCATTCCAAATACAATGCTAAGTGGTTCCAGTGCCTGGCTTGAAAGTGCAACGTCCCGAGTTTGATCCCTGGTACCATAAAAAAGTTAAAGCAAATACAATGCTAAGCCATGTGAAGATTTTTTTCTCACCAGAGAATGGGTTAATTTTCAATAAATTCTCTCTGGTTGCAGTATGGAGCCGGGCAAGCACTGCAGCAAGAAGACTAGCTCACAAGGCTTTTGCAGTGACCTAGCCAAGAAATGATCATGGCTTGAGCTAGAGGGGAGGAGAGGTGAGAAGCATGAAAACCCAAGACACCATTTTTTAGCTGAAGGAATTGGCTAAAGGACTGGCAAAAGATAGTTAGAGAAATAATGAAGTCATGGGGGACACCTAAATTTCTGATGGGGAAACCTCGGAGAGGAATAGTTTCAGGAGAGAAAATCAGAGTTATAACCTTGGTTTGGGGCTCAGTGGGTTTGAGGTCCAATAAGAGATGTGGGGTGTTAGATCTGCAGCTCTCTACAGCCTTATCAGGTTACTTCAGTCATCCTCGTGCTGTATGCCATGACTCCATATAACATATGGTGATCGTTCCTCCACATCTGCACAAGTGCTTTCCATGCCTTCACCTTGTACAGTATTGCCTATTTTCCCATCACTAGGACAAAACATCCAACACCCACAATTTAAAGAAAGAGAGGTTTATTTGGCTCACAGTTTCTCATGGGTTCAATGCAAAGTTGGCTGGCTCCAAGGCAGAGATAGCACTGTGAAAGGGCCTGGCCAAGGACTGCTGCTCATCCCATGGCAGCCAGGAAGCAGAGTGAAGGGGAGCTGGGGACAAGAACATGCCCTTCCAGGTCACACCCCCAGTGACCTGCCTCTTCCCACCAGGCCCACCTCCTAACAGCACATCCAGCTATGAACTCATCAGTGGGATCATTTACTGATGAGTATGGTGCCCCCAAGACCCAATCTCCTTCCAAAAGCCCCAACTCTGAACACATGAAACTTTTTTGGAATATTTATATCTAAACCATAACAACCCCTTACTTCGCTTAGAAAAATTCTTTGCCTTTCAAGATTTAGCTCACTGCCTTTCTCCACTATCCTGCCCATATTCCTATTTCTGCAGCCTAAAGAGAAAGCAGGAGGTCTTTGGGTGATTTAACTCCTCACCATCTTGAAAAATGGTCTGTCTTTACTCTACACAGGCCTAGTCAGCTCTATTAGATTGTAAGCTCCCTATGGGCCATTTCTTTACACAGCTCTTCCATTCCCCATAAGCCTTTAGTGATTTATGCACCCTTAAATTCAAAGGGAATTAACTAGCATATTTACACAAAATAAGATGGATGATTCAATGGGAAGAAGATGAAAAACAAATGTTTTTGCCTTCTAAAAGAGTTTTAAGACAATCCGTTTAGCTATCCACAAGTCTAAGGATTAACTGTGTTGGCGATTTTTAATAAAAGTGAGTTGTGCAGCACTGCCTGTGTCTGCCAGGCCAAAACATTTGCTTCACTTTTGAAATGCACATCTCTTGTGAAAGGTGAATTAATCTACACAAACATGCCCTGGATCCTGTTGTTCAGAATCCATATAGATCTGTTACTATCTACACTAAAAATCTACTTGCACAACTCTGTTTATAGAAAAAAAGAATATGTATTTCAATACCCAGTGTTTTGGTTGTACTCTTGATATATTTAAAGGTGACTCTTGGATTTCAGTGCACAGCTTACACAATAAAATTGCACTGTATGGTAAAAAATAAAATAAAAGAATTGTGAAAAGTGAATGGTGGCAGGACTTAGTGAAACTGGTGCATGAAACTCAGTACATTTTACCATTAATTAAAGCTGTTGATTCAAGAACTCCTGCAGATATTGTATCTTTCGAGCTTGCTGAGGCTTGAAACATGCCTGGGACAAGAGCTCTGGCTGGCATTAGGAAGAACTGGGACAGGACAGCTGGAAGGCTGAATGCAGCAAATATGGATCAGTTATGAAATGCAGCTCAATGAGGAGCAGGGGAACAGGCGGCTAGTGGAAGGCCCCACGGTGCCTTCGAGATCTACTTGTATTTAGCATCTTCATTAATGGCTGCACTCAAGCCTTCCACGTTTTGTTAATAACATTTTTTGGTGGGTACTAAATTAGGAAGTGCAGCAGACATCATTGAGGACAGAAAAGTAATACAGGTGGATCTAAAGAGATTAGACATATGACTAGAAATTGTCACGATGAGATTTGGCTTAGGAAAAGTGCAAATGAAGACAGCTTGGGGAGAAATAATCCAGAATGCAAAGTAATCAATAGGATGGGAAACCTAGAAAGCAGCAACAGAGTGTGCCTGGCAGGAAAGCAAGGGTACAAAGGCTGAGCAATGATGAGGTGCAGTCTCAGCCCAAATGGTCGATGGCAGGTAGGAGAAGAAATAGTCTGTCAAGAAACTGCATTGCAACACATAAACATTTTTGGAGATGATGTGGGAAAATAAAAATAAAGTGAGCTATTTAGGCTTTTGCTCCTTCTATTGTTAGAAAAGGAATGCGATGCATGGCTTCTGAGGACCCCCAGTGCTAACTGTTTGTGATCACAGGGGAAGAGATGGGCACAGGCGACAATGCATGGAGAAGGGATTCACTCTCTTTTCTAAAGATTTGCTTTATGAGAAGAAGGCAGAATGAACAGTGAGTGGAAAAATGCTTCCAAACAGACTTCACACTGACAATTTATCTGCAGCATATCTTCCTTGCACTGAAGATGCGGAGCTAAATTAACAGAGAAAACTATGTAGCTATTTAGTTATAAAAATACCCTCTGTTTTATTAAGTATTTTTAAAAATATGAACCCTTTAAACATCTTTAGAGTATATAGTTTTTTTGTTTACAAAAATTTACCTTAAAAAAGTTAGAAATTCATTCATGGTACAGAGCAAGAGAGGCCTGCAGGAAGGAGTCTCCATCCTACTGGGCAGGGAGACACGACACAAGGGGCAAGTCGGGCCTGTTGTTTGGGACAAATCCATCTGTGAACGATGCTCTCCTTTCAGGATCTCTCTCTCAGACTGCCACATTTCCATTCCCCTGAGATACATTTCTCCCATCTCACCTACTTTCACTGACCTGGATTCCCATAAAAGAAGGAAGTGTATTATTCTCTACTGGGAAAGTATGTTTCTATTATTAGGATGTGTAGTGAATCCTGCCAGGTAAGGGCAGAAAACATACATCTCTCACACAACAGCTTCGAGAATCGTCCCCCTGCCTCCTGGTTATACCCCTTCATCAGCCAGCGCCTCCCACTGTGGCTGATGGGGTCACAAAGCATCATGTGGACACAATGGGCTTTGATGAATCAATAAATCACCATTGTCTTGAGCAAAGGTAAGAAGCGCTGCTCAGAGACACCACGCTATCTGGTCTTTCTCCTTGACTTCCACATGTGCCTAGAAGACAGGCCAAGGTGTGTGTGCAAACTGTCTTCCAAAGTCACCCCAGGAAGGCATCTGGGACATCTGGGTTCTTGAATTAAAAAATCTTCCTTCAGTGTGGGCCTTTAAGAAATAGGCAGAGATCAAATGTGATGATTTCTAAAAACACCTTTTAAGGCAAATCATTCATTTTTCACATATTTAACAAATAATCCCTTAGTTTTTTCCATATAACAGGCACTAGAATATAGAAAGGAGTGAGATAGTATGCTGATCCTCATAAAAGACAAGAACAGTTTATCAAGCTTTACCATAAGCTTGGTACTTTTATTTTATGTCTCCCATAACTCTGTGAGGTGAACACGACTATGTTCCCTTTGCAGACAAAGAATCTAAGATTTGCATAAAGGCTGCATCTAGAGAACAACAGAGCTAAGAATCCATTCAAGACCTGGGTACTTCCTTCTGCAGTGTACTTTCTCCCCCAAGCTATTTAAAATCACAGTCTGGTATTATTATGTGATGTTTTGATAAGGAAACTTGAGTTTTCAAATATTGAGTTATAAACAATTTCACAAAGAAAAGAAAAATCAAATTTGAGGCTCTCAGTTGTAAGTTATTTATCTTGGAACAAGAGTTCCAGTAATAAGGGTGTCTTATAACTGCATGAGTGTGTAATTGGAGGCTAAAAACAATAAATGGCCTGAACAAAATAAATAAAAATATTGAGTTAAGTCCTGAATGGCGTCTCAGAGTTAAGTCAATGAATTTCTAAGTTATGATAAACAAAACACAACACTGAAATGAGATGATGGTTGAACTCAAAATAAAATGCAGCATAGTTCATTTTGCCAATGGTAAACAAAAGAACACACACCAAAACTGCCCACTTCTCCCTTGTGCATGGTAGCTTTTTCCTAGGAAGCTGGTACTGACTCCTGACTGCTTGATCATAACCAGCACAGACCCCTACCACCCATCATGTTTCCTCAATTCATTTACTGTGTTGTGCCCTATGTGCTGTACAGAAGCTCAAACTGTAGAGTGAAGCCTAAGTAGGGAAATGAATCCATGCCACAAAAGCACCAAGAGAAAGACTCAGGTCAGGCTGCCCTGTAGGGATGGAGGCCCACTGCAGAAGTGGACATGCCAGGTGTGTCTGGGGGTCCCAGGGAAGCTCCTAGGTTCCCCATTTACCTGTGCCCTAAAGCAGTTTTAGGAATCACCATCCTTTCCCAACAGGTGAAAATAAACAGGGTCTAGAATTATCTGCACTGATACAAAGGTAGAAACTTGGAAATCAAGTTGCTCCCACTCACACTGCCTGGTTTGGTTAAAAAATTGGGAAAGCATATTGATCAAACCAAAATTCCAGCAGCTCAGAAAGCCCAAGGTGGCAGGAAGTGGTCTAGGACTGGACTTGTCTTAAAGGACATGGCCTAACCCTAGTGCACTAATGACATTCTCTTATATTTTTATAGCTCCCTGCAACTTTCAATGGTTACACAACCACCCTGGGAATAAAATTGTATTCTTATTTTCACAGATGACAAGAACGAGTCACAGCCAGCAACCATGAGAGTAAAACTCTGAGTCTTCCTCCAGATCAAGCAGTCCATCCATGCAGACCTCACAGGGCAAGCTCAGGACTATGGGAGAGGGATGCCCTCGGAGTCAGGCTGCCTTGTATCTGCCTACCTTCCATGTGTTGTTTCTTAGCCCTGTAAGTGGGGAAAGTTCTTTAACTTCATTAAACCTCAGTTTCCTCATCTATAAAATGGAGATACACATAATGATGAGGTCATGGTGTGACTGTATCATGTGACATACACACAGCATGCTCAGCCCAGAACCCAGCCCTTGGTTAGAGCTGAACAATGCTGGGAGCTTCAGGATGCTTACAGCATGGACTCTGAGTGGCTGAGCCTCCTTGTCTCCTCTAGTTCAGCAGCTTCAGGGTACAAAGCCCCCAGTGAACATATTACTATATTTAAAGCTCCAAGGAGACAAATAAAAATCTTGGGACAGACTAGGGATGCTTAGGGCCCAGCACTGAGCCCAGGACCAGGGTGGAAGGTATCTGCCCATCTTTCCCTTCCTCCCCAGAGCCACCTGCACTGGGTCCCTGAGGCAGAGAGCACCCGTCATTCCCACCTGGAAAGCCATGGAGTTGGCAGCGGCCAGGAATATCCTCAGAGGCAGCTTGGCCTTGTAGGACCTGTGGCTCCACAAGCGGTGGGCCCCAGCTGTCACACCCAGAGCGGTCACGAGGAAGCAGAAGTAGGCTGCAAGACACAAGCAGGGACAGTGTCAGCAATTGGCGCCGAGCCTTTCAACATCCCCATGCTTTTCCTCTCTTGAATGGGGACCAATGTGAAATGGTGTCAGGGGAGGAATCTTCAACATGAAGAATCAATAACCTGAGAAAATACAGTCTTTTTGTTGATTGGTAGCTTTCCCGTACGGGGCAGATGCAGAGAGAACTTGCTTCTAGAAACTCTGACCTAATGTCAGGAGACTTTAAATATCATTTGCCCTTTATTAAAGAGTCTTTTACTTGCTTGTTTTCTTGCTGGCCTTGTATCAGCCCCAGGAGAACAGTGCCATTCAGGCCTCCTGGTCCACTCAGCTCTCTGAGAGTGTGGCTGATCACTGGGCTGCCTCTGGGTTGGCACCCACACCAGGGCCAGTGTTATGTGATGAGCATGTTTCTAAGAGGCAGCTCCTACAATCATGGCTCCATGGGCTTTGGACTGAAAAACACTGGGCCAGGCTTAAGAGCAATGAAGTCTGACTCAGGCCAGTGAGAATGAAGACACCTGGGCTGCAGAGTCAGTGAACTTTGTCTCCAGACACTGGCAGACAGTGTCACAGTGACCTGAGATGGGAAGGTGGCCAGCAGGGGAAATGTTCAAAGCCAGGCTGGGTGGGGCTTGTTGGCTGCCCCATACTTAAGTACCCCATCTCTAATTCTCGCCACAGGTATCAGGGCTCTCATTTCACAGTTGAGGAGCAGGACCACCCAGAGGATAATTGGTAAACACTGTAATGAAACTCAAGTCACTTTGTCCTCATTTCTCTGCCCACAGACTCCATGTCACCACTGTGACTGCTGAAGGTGGTGGTGAGGGTGTGGTGATTTGCTCTTTCCCTGAAGGCTTGGGAATAGCTATACATCCACTGGAGAAAGAGACACCTTAGGAACCCCAAAATGATGATTGTCGAGATTTTTACAGCTACTCTGTGGTTTTAAAAGCCATGTTCTCACATAACACCCAGCGTTTTATTTACATCACATTATTAAATGCATGAAACAAACTATCTGTTTGGTATGATTTTTAGCCCCATTTTAGAAGTGAGCTCATTTCCCAGTGTCACAAAGCTACAAAGTACCTTTGCTAAGAGTTGAACCCAAGTCTACCTGAACCAAGAACAGAGTCCCTTACAAATAACCAAGAAAAGAGTTCCTGCCTCTCTGGGAGCTATCAGGTAAATTTTATCTTCACTCCCCTACACCCCATTGTCATCTTTAATACTGGATCCCAATATAAATGTAAAAGTGAGCTGCTTCCTTACATGGAGGCCATTATGGATTAGATCTAAATACCCCCCAAATGTCTCATGTGTGTGGAAAGTGATTGGATTGTGGGGGCACTCTACTTATCGTGGATTCATCCATTGATGAGCTCATGGCTGAATGTGCTGTTAGAAAGTAGGGCCTGGTTGGAGGTGGCTCACTGTGCGTGTGATTTGGAAGGATGTAATTTCGACCTTGGCTCCTCCCTCTTTCTCTGCTTCTGGCTGCCATGGGTTGAAGAGCTTTCTTCCACCATACCCCTCTTCCATGTTGTTTCTGTCCTGGGGCAAACTGACTTTGGACTGAACCCATTGGAAACTGTGAGCCAAATAAACCTCTCCTCCTTTATCTTGTGGGTATTGGGTGTTTTGTCCCAGTGACAGGAAAGTGACTAAGATAGGTGAGAAGCCATGGAAGGTGGAATTGCTACACTTACACTTGGCACATGCAGGGCCTTCCATAAAGAATTAGCAGAGAACAAGCCTTGGGCTGTGAATGCACCATGGAATGAGACAGGAGGTGGGTAGGAAAAAGGATGGGAAAAAAGAAATTTTTTGCCCTTCTGGAACTGAATCCCCCTTTCTGAGTTAAACATTAGCCTGGGATCAGAATGTTCTGGTCTAAACCAGCAGTAACCAGCTAACTTAGCTTATATACAATAGGTCCCTGGGCATGCTTCTGGTGGTCCTCTACAACCCTTGGCTGACCCTAACCCTAATTACCATGGCATTGAGTATGTAGATTTGATACCCACCACCACCCTCCCCTGGGGCTTTGGACAATTACTTTCATTCCATCTGAGGTCCAGTGTCCTAGCCTACTGACAAAAAGAGTCAAGTCGAATTTTTCAGCTTGGGTCATGACAGTTCCCCCAAGGGCCATAAAAGGTCAAAAACTCCTTTGCTTGATGGAGGGGTCAAGTCAAGCTGCTCATTGGCAAGAGTCATAACTCAGACCAAACCCTCAATCTTACCCTGAGCCCCAAGGTTTAAAACCCTCAGCACCAAGCCCACTTGGGCCATGAGCTCTTCTCATCTGCCCACTCCCACTCTGTGTGGAGTGTACTGTGTCTTTCCTCTGTCAAATAAACCATTGATTCTGCTGCTACTCTTGGAAGTTCCACTTAATTCTTTGTTTAGGACATCAAGAACCCAGACAAGACCCCCAGCCCAGTAACAAGAGCAGCTGTGAACTGTCCCAGATCAGGATGAATACATAGGGAGCTTGCTGTAGCACTTCTGAGGAAAAATTATTTAGGTAACTTCATGTCAGTGTACATATTTAAAAGGAGCACAGTATTACTCGTACAACTTTCAAAAGTTAAGTGTCTACCTGCTCTTGATCTCTAGATTTACATGGTTCTAGTAACAATCAATTGTGGTAGACATCCCTGCTCAGGACTAGCAAGCTAGGAGTGGCACCTGCTTCTTGCTTTACATAATTTGGCTATATTGTTTTATATCAGGAGTCAGACTGAAGCTCTATGTGACTGAAATGGGCATGTCAGATGGCAGATTGGGCGAGTACAGCCCCTCCCCCAATGGCTGCCACAGAAACTTAGGCCCTAGTCTGTGAAATGACAGGGCTCTGCTGAGTTACATGCAGCTGAGGTCAGTATGACCCCAATTAAAATTCTTTCCCCTGAATTATGGCTTCTCACTGACATGATGGGTTGCTTGCTAATTGCTCCTGGTCCCATTATCTGTTTGTTCTATACAAGCATGATAAGTAGTGCTTACTCCCTAACACCCCTGCCTGGTGCCATCATGCCAGGTGTTCAGTAGTATTTCACTAGATGCCTTCAAAGCATAACCAGCTCCTTATTCCTTCCCATGATTGTATTCAATAAATACTGAATGCTCTTGGGGGCCTTTGCCTTTGCTGCCATCAGCAGCACTGATCATGCCCCAAAACTCAGCTTCACTCTAAGTCTAATTTCCCATTTTTATTCTTTTGCCTTGTGCTGTAGTGGCTCACAGGAGGCCAGAACCTATGGCAGAGGTTCTGGCAACATCCCCTTCCCCATTCCCTGCAATCAGTGTTAGCTCTAAATAATTCAGTGTTATGTTAGCTCTAAAATTAACAGGCCCCTGACTAGCCAAGATTTTCATGAACTTGACAAACCATTCTTTACTCAAAAAACAAAAACAAAAACAAGAACAATCTGGCCACAATCATAGAAAGTGTAGCAAATAAAAAGCTCAGATCACCTTTGTTACTATAATTTAACCTTGGTCCGGAGTCCATGAAGTGGACAGTTATTTCCTATGTCATCACTGGCCTTCACATTCCTACTAACCATGTTTTTTTTCACCTGTCAAGTAGTAAGGGAACAAGTAAATTCTAGAATGGAAAAATGGAACTTGACCATTTTTGTGTATGTCAGTAGGCTAAGAAACTGGACCTTGGATGCAATAAAAATAATTCCAAGACTCCATAAAAAACATTGACTAAAAATAAAAGACTACTCAAATCCACATTTCCCCAGGAGGTCCTTACTACAGACTGTAGCATCATCCTGGTTTTCTGGGAATCTCCAAAACTTAGGGACCATTTGCATAGCTGGCCTGTCTTTGTCTGAGCACTGACAAAGACTTAAATCAGAGCCTGCACTGGGCAGTGGTGGCTGAGGGTTTTCTATGGTCCTTCATGCCACCAGGCCTGGCCTAGTATCAGACTGTACCTTCCTGACCTTGAGAAAAAAACCCTGAACCAACACTTCCTCTTTCTTCTGGCTCAAAGCCCAACATGAGGTTAACTAAAGGCTACATATCATGAAGATTAAAAAGTCTGATTGCAATAGTAAAGAATGAGGCTTGGCCTTTAATCCCAGCTACTCAGGAGACTGAGGCTGGAGGATAGGAAGTTCCAGGCTACCTTGGCAAATTAATAAGATCCTGCTTCAAAATTTAAAAATAAAAGAGGCAAGGGATGTGGCTCAGAGTAAGGCTTTAGATTCAATCTCCAGTACTAGAGAAAAATCAAAAACAAGAAGTGAGACCAAGAAGGTAAAACATGAAGATGATGGAGATGTCCCTGAGGCGAAGAGAGAACTTCCTATGTTCTAGGCCCTGGACATCTATAGTCTCTTCATCCTGTGAGCCTCCCTAGTGTTTTTCTGATAAACCAGAGTCAACAAACTTCCCCTTTCTTGCTTAAATTAGATAGAATTTTAAAGCTTAAGTTCTGCAGAATTTTGGGAGGAAAGCAACCATCTGGTCATGGCCCAAAAGACAATAAAACACAAAAACGCTGGGATAATCTGAGGATTTGGGAAGTTTCCCCTTCACAAGACTTAGTTGTCCTATTTTTGGAGGGCTGATTCTTTGTTCTTAACTTCTATTCGATGATCTTCATGAAGGCTAATATTGAACACATTTTCTGATGGAGGCTGGTTAGCTGGCTCTGGGTGCAAAATATTCAGACAGAATTGGTAACTTTGAGGGAGAAAAGAAAGTAATAAGCAATAACTTTACCAACTAGTTTATATGTCACAGAAAAAGGAAGTAAATCAATATAAACCAGAATCACAAGGTGACAGAACAAATACGGAATCCTGGATGCAAACAAGAGACATCAATTTCTGGTTAGCTCAAGCAAAAAAAAAAAAGACATGTATTAAAAAGATGTTGAGAAGCCTAGAGAATTCAGGGGAGGTCTTCAGGATGTGGTTTTGGTATAGAACCTCCAAGGTGGCCCCCGTGTCCCCACCTCCTAATACACAGCCTTGTGTTATCTCTTCCCCTTTAGTAATTCATTTCTCACCAAGAGAATACAGCCACTTTGAGGACATATTGGTTCCATGAGTAGGCTGCAAAACATTTGCTAGTACCTTCTCTCTAGCAGGCTGTGGTGGAGAAAGCTGTGTTGGGGAGCCACAGCAAGAAAACTGAGGATTTCTCCAGACAACAGCCAGCCAGGAGCTGGGGTTCCCAGTGTGATAGCTCGCAAAGGACCAAATCCTACCAACAGCCATGGGAATCAGCTTGGCAGCACAGCCTTCCCCAGTCTGCCTTCAGACAAATCTGTGGTCCACACCCATACACTGCAGCCTCATTCAAGGACCTGAGGTCAATGCCCTTGCTCAGCTGTGCCTGGATTTCTGTCCCCCAAAACTGTGTGAAAGTGAATGTACTTTGTTTTTAAAATAAAACTGAGCAAACTGCTAAATTTGGGGGTGGTTTATTACACAGCAAGAGATAACTAAGACAAGGCTTGAGCAGGAACCTTCACTTCAGGGAAAGCAGGTGCATCTTTAAATTCTGGTTGCAGGAGAATTTGCCAGCCACAGGGACAGAAATTAAACTGCTATGCATGGGTAGAGATTAGGGAAGAGGGGAGTGACTGTTAGTTGTGAGAGGTCACAAAAAATGTTTTAAAACTGATTTCGGTGATAGTTACACAATTTTATACCAAAAACCAATAAATTGTACACATGAAACAGGTGAGTTGTACACTATTGAGTTATAACTCAATAAAGCCATTATTTAAAAAACAATTACTGAATTCCTATGAGATTTTGTCATTATATTTTTATCAATGTAAAACAGGATAACTCACAAAACAAAATAGAACAAAAACCAGTACTTTGCCTAGGATGCCACTAGGATCATCACCACCCTTGGACACTTGCTACCCCCAGACACTTATGTCACACCATGGTCCCTGAATCTTCCACAGCTTCCCAAAAGAGATTCTATTTCATCCCAAACCCATGCCCGGA